TAGCGGTAGTAGTAGTAGTAGTAGTAGTAGTAGTAGTAGTAGTAGTAGTAGTAGTAGTAGTAGTAGGTAGTAGTAGTAGTAGGTAGTAGTAGGTAGTTAGTAGTAGTAGTAGTAGTAGTAGTAGTAGTAGTAGCAGTGGTAGTAGTAGTAGTACTGGTAGTGTAGGTAATTAGGAGTAGGTAGTAGTAGTAGGTAGTAGTAAGTAGTTGTTAGTAGTAGTTGTCGTAGTAGTTAGTTTAGTAGTAGTTTAAATCCTTCAGTTTTGTTGTCTTGTGTCAGTAGTAGTAGTCGTCGTAGTAGTAGTCGTAGTAGTAGTAGTAGTAGTAGTAGTAGTAGTAGTAGCAGTAGTGGTAGTAGTGGTAGTAGTAGACCTAGTAGTAGCAGAAGTAGTAGTGGTAGCGATAGTAGTAGGAGTAGTAGAAGTAGTAGTAATTGTAAGAGTCGTAGTAGTAATCGTCGTCGTCGTAGCAATAAAAATACCACTACGAGTATTGAGATTAGGAGTAGACAGAGGAGGGCCTAAGAGGGGGAGAGGGGAAGAACAAGCAGCCGAGGAGGGGGAGTGGGAGGGGAAGGGAGAGGAGTGGGAGGGGAGGGGAAGGGAGGGGAGGGGAGGGGAGGAGAAGGGAGGGGAGGGGCGGGAGGGAGAGGAGGAGACGGAGGAGGAGGAGGAGGAGGGGGAGGAGGAAGGGAAGGAGAGGAGAAGGGAAAGGAGGGGAAGGGGCCTGGCCAGAGAAGGGAGCCAACCAGCACCAGCGCCATGGGCGCCGCGCACACGGCGGCGGCGCGCACGAAGCCCACCCGTGCCGTCAACGCCCCGCCCAGGATGGGCCCAGCCGCTTCGCCGAGGGACACGGCCGAGGGGGTGAGAACAGTCCTAACGACCAGCCCCGCAGTGGACGCAGAAGGACGTACTAGTACTGCGAAGGCATTACGGCCGGTGCCACCGACCTTGTGTGCTAGGAGGAGGAGCAGGAGCAGGAGGAGGAGGAGGAGGAGGAGGAGGAGGGTGGGAGGAGGAGGAGGGTGGGAGGAGGAGGAGGAGGAGGGTGGGAGGCGGAGGAGAAGGAGGAGGAGGAGGAGGAGGAGGAAGAGGAGGAGAACGACGACGAGAAGGACCAGTGTAAACCCAAGACTCATCAACGAAGTTGGAAACTACCCTCCCTCCAAGCTCGCTTTTCATAGACCCCTAAAAGGGTTCGTTTCCACTCAGGGAATTGCCCCGTTGAGGGACAACCATGTGAAAATCCTGAAGCGTGCCAGGATTTCAGCGCCACGAGTCAACCTGACTGTTGCGAAAGACTATCCTAAATCGCACCAAAAGACCATTCCTGAGACTTCACCACCGCGAATCAATGGACCTGTTGCGCCCTGACAATCCTGGTACATTCCAAGACACCGCTTCTGGTACGTTAAGAATGAGAACCAATGAAGCTATTGCATATGTTCACAACCGATAATCGCGGCAATAAGGCGAGAACCGCATTTTGGCCAGGAACCAGCATGAATCCGTGCAACTCATTCAAATGTCTAAGACGACTGCGCGCGGCGATAAGGCGAAAGACACATGTTGAAAACCACCCGCCCTCATTATGTGAAACTCTTGCAAACGTTTAAATCGAATGCGCGCAACGCTAAGGCGAGAGCAACATGTTCAAAATCAATCGCCATCAATCCGCGAAGCTTTTGCAAAGTTTTCAAAACGAGTGTGCGCGGTGCTAGGGCGAAAGCCACATTTTGAAAACCACCCGCCCTGCATCTGTGAAACTGTCGCCAGCAAGTTCAAGCTTCGCGGTCATCAGTGCAAATTGAAGAAGTCGCAAGCGAAACGCCCGGCACGCCCTTCCGACTGGCCGCGGGGTGCGACAGGGGGGAGTTAATCCTTAGGAAAAAAAGGGAAGAGGAGGAGGAGGAGGAGGAGGAGGTGGAGGAAGGGAGGAGGAGGAGGGGGAGGAGGAGGAGGAGGAGGAGGAGGAGGAGGAGGAGGAGGAGGAGGAGGAGGAGGAGGCGTGGTACGGGGGGGACGAGAGGAGGAGGAGGTGAGGAGAGGAGGAAGTGGAGGTGGAGAAGGAGGTGGAGGGAGGAGGAGGAGCAGCGGAGCGGGCAGGGAGGCTGAGACGGGTGGCCGGTTCAAACACACCATAGATGGCGGCGATGAAGACGGATGCCCAGCGGCCGCCCGACACCAGGGCCGCCACCCTCCCCACTTTTCCTTAAACCCACCCCCCCCCACCCCCCCCCCCCCCCCCACTACCCCTCACCCCCCCCGGCCGCAGCTCGGGCCGCCGCGCCGCTCGCTCTCGGAGAGCGGCGCACCCCAGAGGTCCTCAGCCTAAGATCCAGGCGCTGCAGCACCAGACATGCTCGTCGCGAAAAAATCGGGACGGGGGGGGTTCTTCGCTTTCGGCCCTCAGGGGGTCCTTGACGCGCCCCGGGGCCGTCAAGACACGACTCGGGACGAAGAGCTGGTCCCAGAGAAGGGGTCGGGACTTCTGGGTCCAGGGATCCGGTCGTGATGCTTCGCGATATTGCAGATATTCACGACGTCGGATCTCAAGGGGGGTCCGAACACCCGTCCTAGGGACCCGCTCTGCAGGCATGGCCGTTCCTCGACGGCTCCATGGGCCCGGCAGGGGCCCCTGGAGGCCGACAGTGGCCAAAGGCCTTCCGCCGTTCGCTCAGTTCGACGGCATGGGGAGGAGGGAGAGGAGGAGCGTGGGAGGAGGAGGAGGAGGCGGAGGAGGAGGATGATGAGGACCAGTGGAAGCCCAAGACCCATCAACGATGTTGGAATAAGCCCTCCCTCCAGGCTCCAGGCTCCCTCTTCATACAAAGGTTCATCTCCACTGAAGGAACTGCCTCGTTGGGAGACACCCGTTGAAGACCCTGAAGCGTGCCAAAGCACCGTTCTCGTGAGTCCAACGCCACGAATTAACATGACTGAATCGCTCCAGAAAACCATTCCTGGGACTGCACCACCGCGAATCAATGCAACCGTTGCGACATCACAACCCTGAATACTTCCAAGACACCATTTCTAGCACGTTGACCATGGGAATATATGAAGCTCTTGCAAATGTTTAATACAAGTGTGCGCGGCCGTTAGGCGAGACCCATATCTTCAAAAGAAACCAACCTCGATGCGTGAAGCTCTTGCAGAATTTTACGGTGTGCGCGGCGCTACAACGAAGGCAATAATCTAAAAACCACCCACCCTCAATTCGTGACACCCTTGCAACTGTATAAACGAATGTGCTCGGCGCTAAAGCGAGAGCAGAATTTTGAAAACCAGCCGCCCTCAATTCGTGAAGTTACTGCAAGTGATTATCGAAAATAATATAAGCGGCGCCAAAGCGAAAGCCACATTTTGGAAGCGACCTGCCCTCCATCCGTGAAGCTGTTGCAAATATCTAGGCTTCATGGCCACAAGCCTCAAGCGAAATCCAGTCCGCCATTTCGACCATCCTCGGGGTGCGAGAGGGCAGAATTATTGATGACGAAAACGGATGGAGAAGGGGGCGGAGGAGGAGGAAAAGAAGGAGGAGGAGGAAAAGAAGTATGAGGGGGATGAGGAGCACGAGGAGGGATGGAGGAAGAGAAGCAGAAGGAGAAGGAGGGTGGGTCACGGGGCTCTGCGCATTCGGCCTGGGCACCAAACACAAGCCTGGCCAGGCCCTGGCAACGGAAAAGCGGGCTGGCTTCCTAGGAAGAGCTGCGCCACCTGCTCAACCGCCTGGTCCCCGAGGTGACGGACCTCGCGCCGCAGCCAGGAAGCGACGACGACGACGACGACCACCACCACCACCACCACTACGACGATGACGATGGCAACGACGACCACGGCGACGGCGAGGGCGACGGCGACGGCGACGGTGACGGCGACGGCGACGGCGACGACGACGGCGATGGCGACTGCGGTGGCGACGGTGGCGGCGGCGGCGGCGGCGACGGCGACGGCGACGGCGACGGCGACGGCGACGGCGACGGCGACGGTGACGGCGACGGCGACGGCAACAGCAGCAAAACGGCGCCGGGGACGCGACAGCGACAACTTCGACGACGACGACGACGACGACGACGACGACAACGACGACGACGACAACGACGACGAACACGACGACGACGACGACGACGACGACGACCACGACCACAACCACCACGATGACGACGACGACGACGACGAAAACGACCACGACCACGACCACGACCACGACGACAACCACGACGACGACGACGACGACGACGACGACGACGACGACGACAATCAACGACGACGACGACGACGACGACGACGACGACGACGACGACGACGACGACGGCAACGACGACGACGCCGACGACGACGGCGACGGTGACGGCGACGACGACGACGACGACGACGACGACGGCGGCGGCGATGGTGACGGCGACGGCGACGGCGACGGCGACAACGACAACTGCGACGACGATGTTTACCACGACGACGACGGCGACGGCGACGGCGACGGCGATCACGCCCGCGGCGGCGGCGGCGGCGGCGACGAAGGCGTCGACGACGACGACGACGACGACGGCGACGGCGACGGCGATGACGACGACGGCGACGGCGACGGCGACGACGGCGACGGTGACGGCGACGACGACGACGACGACGACGACGACGACGACGACGACGACGACGACGACGACGACGACGACGGCGGCGGCGGTGACGGCGACGGCGTCGGCGACGACGACGACTCCGACGGCGATGTCTGCCACGACGGCGACGGCAACGGCGACGGCGACGGCGACGGCGATCACGCCGGCGGCGGCGGCGGCGGCGGCGGCGACGACGGCGTCGACGACGACGACGACGACGACGACGACGACGACGACGACGCGGCGACGGCGACGGCGACGACGACGGCGACGACAACGACGGCGATGGCGACGGCGACGGCGACGGCGACGGCGACGGCGACGGCGACCACGACCACGACGGCGGCGGTGGCGGCGGCGGCGGCGGCGGGGCCCCGGAATGGCGAACCTCGCGCTGCAGCAGCGGTAGCGTCGGGATGAACGTGGCGGCGAGGCCCGAGCTCGTCACCACGAACGACAGGACCTGCAGCGTCCACGGCTGCCACCCGTCCCGGGATGCCAGCATCGACTGCACCGGGCCGATCGGGCCCATGAGGAGCATGCCTGGGCAGCGGAGTGCTAAGGGCTCGTGGTGCGCACTTTTGACATCAGCGCGCGCAGAGGTGCGGAAGCGGTCATGCGCTGGTCGGGCGAAAGGCGGGGCGCGCCCAAGCAGATTTGGGCACAGTGGAAAAGGGGAAGAAGCAGAGCAGAGGCGAGGTCAGAGCCGCTCAGAGCGTGCAGACCTTCTCGGGGTGCCGCCGAGGACATGCGGGCTGCGTGCAAGCAGCGAGGCGCTGAAGCCGAAGCTTGTAGAAGCTCGAACTGCGCAGTGACAGTCCCACCAGGTTGTCCAGGCTGGCCTCAAGAGGCCCTCCGAGCACGTAGCCCGAGGCGGTCTCATCAGGCTAGCGCCACCTCTAGCCGCGCCCCTGGGGCACTCCGCGCCCCAGGATTGGGATGTTGAGACCGTCTGGCCTTCTCGGGGGGCCTGTTTGAGGCCAGCCGGGACCACCTGGGGGACAGCATGTGTGCAACCCGAAGCCTTGCCAGAGCCGAGGACCCAGACGCCTGATCTCTTCACTGCTTGGCTCCCCAGAGGTAACAAGTCTGGACCCCTTCCCCGTGACCGGCCTTTCATCACGAGTCGTTTCCTGACAGAACCCTTCTGCTGTGATTTGTTCCACCACGTCGCGCTCGAGGGGCGGGGCGGGGTCCAGAGCACCGCGAGACCAGGGGGGACGCCAAGAACGCGGCCAGGGGGGGCCCAGAGTGTGGCAGGCACCGACACCACGGCTCGGGCGGCGCTGGCCAGGAGTGGGGCCACAGTTGCGTGATGATCGGCACCGAGCAAAAAAAAAACATTGCAGTCAACCCGTGCAGGAAAGATGCGCGGTGAGGATGCAAGGGCCTCGGAGGGCCATGCTGACGTTTTTCGAACGAGGTAGGCCCGCGAAAGTCGCTGAGGATGGGCCGTGATGCAAGGGTAGTCTTGGAAAGTCGCGCGCATCCTTGTTATGCGGGTTGACTGTGCTCCCCATGTTGAACTTAAATGGGCAACTCTCCGTCGCTGCATTCTCAATCATGGGCCGCGCCTATATCGCAGAGCCAGGGGGGGGCTGGGAAGGGGCCTGGCACGCCTCGACAAAAGCCCTGCCTCGGTGTGGCAGCCGCGATCGCCGTGGCGACCTCCATCGACCTCCCAAAACCGACACAGAGGTTTGGCTCGGGGTCGGACGTCGCGCCACGAGCCCAGCTCGACGGCCCTGCTCCCCCGGCCACCACCCGACGCGAGGGAGCCGCCCCGGACGGCCGCCGTCGCCCCGGCCACCAAAGAGAGAGAGAGAGAGACAGACACCCAGCACTCGTCGACGGGGGATCCGTGCGCAGAAGGAGAGCCCGTGGGGAGGCGGGCTCGCGTAGTCAACCCGTACAGAGAGGATGCGCGACAAGGACGCAAAGAGCCTTGGAAGCCCACTCCGAGGCTTTTCGAGCGGGGCGCGGCCGACGAAAGTGCCCAAGGATGGACCGAGGAGGCAAGGATGCAAGGATGCAAGGGTGGCCTTGGCAAGGTTGCCCATCCTTACTGTGCGCGTTGACCGTAGACCACCCCACTTCGCGCACACCGCGCCCTGGCGGTGCGCGCAGTGCGCGGCTGTGTCTCTGCGCGCCCTCGCGCGGGCCCCTCTGGAGAAGGCAGCCGCGCCGGCCCAGACAACGGCGCGCGACGCGCGAGGGAAGTTCTTCGCGCCCTCGCGGGCAACCTTGAGGCTCAATCATCAATCCCTATACTCTCCATCTAAGCATAAAGATCAGCTCAAGACAGTTTTAAAATAATAAAATCTGCATTTGTCTACGACTACACTAAGACTCTTGGAAAAATACGAAAGAAATTAACTCGCGAATTCATACTTCCTGTGTCGGTGTGTAATGAAAAATAACTCACGAGTTCGCACTTTCTCACGACCCGGCAGTGGCCGGGGGACGCGGAGCTTCCTCTAGTGCCCTTGAGGTTGCTGTTTTGCTGCACGCGGTCGCCGCAATTGCCCAGAAGGGGGGGTGGGGGAGCTGGAGCCCTGGGCAGAGGTAACGCCCCGGGCGGTGTGGGGCACCTCGGGGCGGGGGTGCGCTGCGATCGCCACAGTGTGCGCGCGAGCACTTGCCACAGTTAGGTCGGGCATACGGATTTTGGAAGAAAAATGGAACATGATAATGAAAAAATACTCACAAATAGCCAGACGAGCAAGAAGAGTCGTCCCCAGACTATTTGTTCACTATCTTAGAACGTCCCTCCTGTAGAGGGACATGCCCGAGTTAACACTAGCCTTAGGTCGGACATGTCCCCCTACAGGGGGAGTAAGGGCGAAAAATGAAGAATACTCAAACAAATACTCCCAAATGGTCGTCCCCAGACTATGTTTGACTATCTTAGAACGTTCCTCCTGTAGAGTGACATGCCCGAGATAACACTAGCCACTGGCATGCAGGGGGGGTCGAGACCCGACCCCCACGCACGACCCGTACAGTCAACCCGTACAGTGAGGATGCGCGACAAGGACGCAAG